TATATTCCAAGTAGTGAGTTTTTAGTTTCGTTTTTGAAGCCATAGATTTAGACCCTATTAGTTTATCAATATGAGCATGTACAAGAGTTCTGTGCCAAGGAGCAGTAAGTACTGTATCTGGAATATTAATAGCATCGTTGTTCCATACATTGAAGAACATGATAGTATGAGCAGTTTTAGTTTTCCATTCTAAATTGGACTGTATGAGATTGGAGTATAGAGGCCGGGCATGCCTGACTCTACAATTTATCTCATTTGATAGGATACTGGAGATTTGTGGTCTGGGTTGAAGCTGCAGGAGCCTAATGCCAAGTATGGTGTTAACTTGGATGACACGACTGTGAATAGAAGGGAGGTCTAACTCTTTCCTCATGACGAGAATTTTAGCGGTTATTGGGCATCCAAGTATAATTCTCATGGCCTTATTCTGTAAAACTTCAAGGGGTTTGAGGGCACTCGGTGGCAGCATACTAAGAACTGGGCTTGCATAGTCTATCATGGACCTAACAAGGGAGATATAAATCAACCTTAGGACTCTCAGGGAGGCACCTACATATCTGTTACTAATGTATTGCAATGGTCTTAAACGCTCAAGGCAACGTTCCTTGATGTTTTAAACAATATTCTTAGCAAAGCGTGAGTTATGGGACATGGGGTGGGGAGCAGCCACCATAACACCAAGATATTTGTAGGTGTCAGTGAGAGAGAGAGAGAGAGAGAGAGAGAGAGAGAGAGAGAGAGAGAGAGAGAGAGAGAGAGAGAGAGAGAGAGAGAGAAGAGAGAGAAAGAGAGAGAAAGAGAGAGAGAGAGAGAGAGAGAGAGAGAGAGAGAGAGAGAGAGAGAGAGAGAGAGAGAGAGAGAGAGAGAGAGAGAGAGAGAGAGAGAGAGAGGAGGCAGAAGAGAGAGAGAGAGAGAGAGAGAGAGAGAGAGAGAGAGAGAGAGAGAGAGAGAGAGAGAGAGAGAGAGAGAGAGAGAGAGAGAGAGAGAGAGAGAGAGAGAGAGGAAGAGAGAGAGGAGAGAGAGAGAGAGAGAGAGAGAGAGAGAGAGAGAGAGAGAGAGAGAGAGAGAGAGAGAGAGAGAGAGAGAGAGAGAGAGAGAGAGAGAGAGAGAGAGAGAGAGAGAGAGAGAGAGAGAGAGAGAGAGGAGAGAGAGGAGAGAGAGAGAGAGAGGAGAGAGAGAGAGAGAGAGCAGAGAGAGAGAGACAGAGAGAGAGAGAGACAGAGAGAGAGAGAGAGAGAGAGAGAGAGAGGAGAGAGAGAGAGAGAGAGAGAGAGAGAGAGAGAGAGAGAGAGAGAGAGAGAGAGAGAGAGAGAGAGAGAGAGAGAGAGAGAGAGAGAGAGCACAAAATATCTTACCACTTTTAGCCAAACAGCTGACACCTCACCTTCAGGTAAACGATGCCATCACTGAACCCCCTGTAGAGGATGTCTCCCCCATCCTCCTGCACTGTAGGCCGAATGCGCGTGTCCAAGAGCTCCTTGATCATGGCTATGGTCTCGTCATCTTCTTCTTCACCACCAGCTGATGGAGGGGTAAAACATTCAATTAATCAACAATAACTCAATACTTGGCTCAAAAGATAAAAATGGAGCATGACATATAAAAAAGAGGAATAAGGAGGAAAACTTTGATATATTCCAATACCTATATTTGTGTCTATATTTACATCTGTCTACCTACATCTATCAGTCTACAAATCCATCTGTCCATTTATATTGGCTATTTATCTGTACTATCATTATTCTATCTAGCTGTCTGTCTATCTATGCTAATGGTCCTTGTATTTTTCAGTCCACTGAGCATGTATTACACATTATAATAAGTTTAGCAAAAGTAACTCAACTCTATAAAAAAATGTGTGCAGGTGTGTGTGACCATCCATGGATAGGCATCAAATTCACACATGATTTGGTGTAGTGTCTGAGTGCTACAACTTGTCTCCAAAGGTGAGAGGGATCATTGTAATCCCAATGGTCAGCTATTGCCCACCTCAAGTTGGGCACAACCAAACAAATAAGACCCACATCAGACTGCATGTTGATAATAATAAACAAACTACAGACCTTGCAGATGGCAAAAAATGAAAAATGAAAAAAAAAAAAAAAAAAAAAAAAAAAAAAAAAAAAAAAAAAAAAAAAAAAAAAAAAAAAAAAAAAAAAAAAAACTCTGACAAAAAACAGACACTTCAGACACCTTTTATGGAGTGCAGGAACTAGTTACAGCAACTTGTGCCTGTCAGCCAATAAACCATTGAGCTGTATAATAACAATAATAATAATAATAATAATAATAATAATAATAATAGTAGAGAGAGAGAGAGAGAGAGAGAGAGAGAGAGAGAGAGAGAGAGAGAGAGAGAGAATGAATGAACAAATGAATGAAAGAAATCAAGAAAGAAAGAAAAGAAAGAAGAAGAGGTGTCTGAAGTGTGTTCAGGAATATCTAACAGTCTCCCTACAATCACATGTCATTCGCCTGTCCCTAACCATTTCTTAATTGT